CTAAAATAAATAGTAAACGTAGAAATTCTTCTGATACCCTCTGGCAGCCAGCAGGAGTGGGTCTTGTGAGTAGTACACATAGAAAGGATAGTGCCTGCCTTTCGTGTTCTCGTGCCATAGAACTGTGAACTATCTTTTCTTATTCTTTCCCTGCCACTTCCTCCCATCACTTCCTTGTCTCTAGACTAGAGGCGCCCACACTTTCAAGAGCTATATCGATATCATGTGTTTTAGAAAATTGTCTTCATTTAAACAAACAAAAACATAAGAATATCAGTAGATCACTAATAACAAGTCAGTGTTTTTAGCATCACATTTTACAATTTACAGTTATTTGTTTGATTCTATAGTCCATTTTTCATGAAGGTTAGAATATAGAATCTTCTTGTATTTGAAAACCATCTGCCCTAAATTACATTTTAACTACAATAAGTAGATTTCTGCAGGAGAAATTTAAGCTTTCTCCGTTGTTTGGTAGTGGTTACGGAATGAGGTGCTGAGTCTTGTGCCCCTTCCATGCGTTATTTGCTAACTCTACTACTGGGCACTTAAGTCCAGCACAGCATGAAGTGTTCTATGATAATTGTGCGAGGACCAAGGCAAGAGTGTCTGTTACCTGCCAACTCTCCACCAGAAAACCTTACTCATAGAAAGAGTGACTTTGATTTCTGGTAGAAAAAGAAGCTTGTGATTTCTTCGCATTTACAAAATACTCTCTGAACCAAAAGGTGCACTACTCCAGTGTCTTCCCTTTTAGAGTGTATATATTTACTGCTTTTTCTCTAGCATTCACAAAAATCCCAAGGTCAGGTTAGTATAGCTGAGTTGTTATCTGGACCCTAAATAATCGTGACCACCTGTAGGCAGTTCTTACTTACCCCTGTCCTCTACAATCCTAATCCATTTAGAGGCAACTATCCTGTGGCCTCCTAAAGTTTTCTTAGACTTACATGATCTTTTCTATAATTATCTCTCTCATTTCTTCTGATAGTAATAGCAGTAGTATTGTTTCAGTGAATATCTATGCACCTAGCTTATTTCATACAAACATCCCACAAAGTAGCATCATATTGCTGCCTGGTAAAAAGTCAGATTAAATTAGAAGGACTCTACACAGTGCTGAATTTCCTGCACCTAACTTACTCAGTTATCACTTGCCAGTATTAGTCGATTCTTCAGGCTGTGCCAGGTACTCCCTTCACATAGGCCCCTGTATTAAAAAGACTGTGACAAAATACTTGATTAGTTTGCCTGTAGAAGCTCAAAGTGTGTGCCAAATGCATTGACCATGGCTTTCATGGCTGAGCCAACACAGTTCAAAGAAATCTTTTTGGGATCCTGGGCTATTGCTTTTTACCTTTTGTCAGGATCAACCCAAATCCTCAGGGATGCTTTTTTTCCACTCTAAGTCCTAACTCAGTAGTGGGTCATTAAATCAACTAAAAAGCTCCAGACAAGTATATTTCACAAGTGAAATAAGAAAGAAAATAGAGGAACAATTGATAGTGCATGTAAAATGATCAAGTATTGGTTCCTGAAACAACAGCTAAATATTCTATTTACTATGCATACTGGGTCACAATATAAAGTGTTTCCTATTATGAAATGCAGTTTTGAAAGAGAAAGCTTGAAAACCTGCTGTAGGAGGCAGGGGCCATCCAGTGATTGTTGGAAGAGTCTGGATTGTGTGGCACCTGACCCTAAATGAGGAGCAGCAGATCCACAACTCAGGAAGTCTAGAGACGGTTAGCACTTTTTCTTTTGAGTAGAATCACCCTTGTTTTGGAATCACCTTCCAAAATATTTTTCTTCTCTGCTGTATATCAGGTACCCTCATATGATTCAGTGGAACCAGAAAAAGCATAGAAAAATCAGATCCACAAACAGCACCCTAAAAAAGACCACAGTCTATTGTTTACTTGGAGGTATTTCAACCTCTTTACCACTAAGCATTTTACCATAACAGAATTGGAGACAGACATTTTCCTTTTGAGTCAGTTGAATTTCAACTATCTACCTTTTAGCTGATTCACCATAATGGTGGCAAAGCCCTTTAAAAACGGGGAGCTGATATGTACGGCACATTCTGGCAGGGCCAAAATATTCATTCTCTTGTCGGGGCGGTGGGGGGTGCTATGCAAATATCAATGCCTTTTTACTAAAAACAGTGGAGTTCTCATTTCTTTAGGATCCAAGTAGAAAATGCAGATAACTTACATTCCTTATGCAGGACTGAATACAGACTTGGTCAGTCTGATTTTCTTTGGTGCTGTTCAGTATAGCTCAACTCTAAAAGTAAACCCATTCACCGTCCTGCTTAGTCCTTCGAAATATACCTTATTGTTAATGGCAATCTAATCAAGCTAGGATTAGTCGGTTAAAATTTTGATTCTTGTCATCTGTATTGTCAATTTTTGGCCAATATGACTGTTAGAGCAAACTTTTTTCCCACTGTCACGATTGGTCTTAAGCAGTATTTGTTTCAGCACTAAAGCAAGGCCAGCACATTGAGAAGATGCAGAATCCTACTCCGTTACAAACCTCATTCATGTTTCTTTTATTGAAACCTTTTTCTACTTTATATTTCCTCTTTTGTAAGGTAAATTTTCCATGCCATTCAAAAAATTTTTTACTTTAGAATTACAGATTACTTCTTTTTTTAAAGCATTATGACATTTTCAAAAAAATAATTTTGGTTACCCAAAAAGCTATACAAGAAATATAACTTCAATTTTTTAGGTTGATACGGTTATATTTTTAAAGTTTTTATTACTTTATACAAATACAAATTAATTTATATTAAAGTTTAACACCTGCTATGATGATAGATATCAAACTGCTGTGATAGAAAACCCTGTCACTGAACTATTCATTTAGTGTTACTCTGATACCTTAAAAACGTGTTCCTTCTAATGACGTCCTTGTAACAAGAAACCCTGTGAGACTGGTATAATGACTTACCTAATGATCAGAAGTGTAATCAAAGTAGAACATGTTGGAAAATCCCAACATTTCTTGTTATGCCATCATACCTCTGGTGTTCAGTTCCTTACCCAAAAGTTCCCAATTCTTGGGCTGAAAAACATTCAAGTAAAAATGTAGAATAGATTACACTGAAATATTTTCAATATCAGTGATTTAACAGCCACACTCACAAACTATTAGGAATGGTATCTGGGACTTGTTACAAGGTCAGATAGATTGTTACAGACTTTTAAAATGATTATCTCTGTGCTTATTACATATAAAAATGAATTTTTCAGGAAAGGTGCACTTTAAAAATACTTTCTCTTGCTAGTTTTAATTGATCAAATAGCCTGTGCTGCTTGGGAATGCTTATTCTTTGATGAAAATATGGTCATTGATTATGACAGTTTTAAACGTATCTATTTCTGCATCGCTGCAGGATTTCCTACACTTTTCTGTTCCTCATTTCTCTTTTATGTGTGCTTGGCTCAGTTGCCTGTTACACAGTCTCTGCCTTGGTTTTGTGTATTCTAAGATTATTTATAAACACAGATGTTTACAGTGAAGTTTTTCCTTTTGGAAACTAGTCTTAGTCTTTTTTCCTCTCTCTAAAAATTGGTTGGCCATGCTCACTAATGACTTTTTTTCTTAATAATCGTTTCTTGGTATTGGTAGATTTAGATTGCATGGTAAGATTATATATTTTCACCATGTATACCTTTGTCAATAAAGATTTCTGATCTTTGGTCTGCTTCTGTTTTTAGTTTTTTGATAGAACTAGAAACATTATTAATAGCCTTCCCTTACCTATATAAATTCTACCCTCTTTGGGGCTTAAATAAATGTGAATAACTAACAGATTGCCCAAGGCTCTGGGCGACATCCCAGCCCAGCATGATCACTGCTGACTAAAAGCTAGCAGTGGTATAGTACCCAGTGAATTCTTAACCACTGACTTTCTGCCTCTTAACCTCAGAAAACTTCACATGACTTATTTCCCCAATAAGTAATGAGCATATCCTGAATGAAGGGCTAGGAGAGAATTTTCTACCAGCAGAATCAATATTGGCAGAGGTAATTAATTCACCTGATATTGAAAGAGTCTAGCCTTTCCATACCTTAAGAAAATATTGTTACCACCCTTTGAATGACTTATTTAACAGCCCTCTTAACAACTTGAGTATGGAAAGCCATCATTTTCTTGTATACTTTAAGTGGTCAGCCAACAATAAATTAACACAAACTCAATGCTAGAAAGTGCTTGAAATAAGACATGGCATTCTTCATTGTTTAATTTCCCTAATTATGGATTCCGTTGAACCCTTTTTACTTGAATTGGCTAGTGAAACCCAGTCCATAGCCTTTAGCCCATCATGGGTGGGGAGGAGAATTGTCTTATATTTTGTTTGTGTTTCTAGATGTCCTAACGGGCTCTACTCCCCTCTCTCTGTTCTCATGTGCAAAATGGTCTCGACTATTTGTGGACCTTTATTGTTCTAGATAAATTTAACAACAATTCGTAAACGTCCACAAAAGCTGTTGCTATTGCATTTGTCTCCTGAGTGAGGATTCATTTTTTTTTTTTAAAGCTAAATGTTGCTATTGTAGAATCACTACATATCAGAATAATTTCAGTCTTTTTCAGCACTTGGAGTTTTTCCCACAGAGTGGGGACACATGATTCTATAACATGTAGCAAACCAAGTTGCACTTCATAGACTGATTTGAGGTAGGCATTTCATACCTTACATCCCCACATGGTGTCTGTGTGTGCGCATGCATGCAGACGTGCGCACAGAACCATCTTGGGCCTTTAGTGTGGAACACTCCTACTTCTCAGAGGATTCTCCTGCTTGACTCAGCCAGCTACTGAGGGAACTGCAGCACGAGATGATGAGGCACACAGCCTTGCCTTGAAAGGAGGAAGCTTAGGAAAGTTTCTGAGTTACTATTAAGGCCGCAACATTTTTCTGTTTAGGATCAGACCCATCAGTCAACCATGAGCTCTAAGAAACACAACATAACCCAGTGCCAATAGCAGAATGGTATATTCTTAGCCTCCTCAGAAAGGCACAGCATACATAATTCAAACAGCAAATCTGTGGTGGCCATTAGAACTTTGGTGGGATTACGCAACATTTGTCAAACAATGTGGACTTTTAGCCATTGCATACATTTACAAGACCTCGTCATACACATTGGGGATAAAAATGTATATATACACACACACATATACACACTTTTCACCAGTACAACATACATGCTATTTAGAGCCCATTTACTACATGTCAGCTTTGCCTTCATGGTGATCAAATTGTGGCAAAGCTAAATTAGATATAGTTATATATCCATTTGGCTTAGAGAGTTAACACACAAAAAGAACCAACTGTTTTAAAAAAAATCTTTGGTGGCATGTTAAAGGAGTCACACTTCAGCATTAGGTGAGAAACAAAAATGTCTCTAAATTACAAGATTTAATTAAAAGCTTCAAACGCATTAACCTTATTTTTAAAAAGTCACCCAAATCAATTCTAGAGGTTTCAAGGCATAATCTATAAACTAACAGGCTCCTTGCTTACATAATTTTAATAGCTATTTTTAAACATTTAAAATTTAAAACTAAATCAGAGTGGCCTTTAAAAATTCTAGAAAACACCAAATTTGAAAATTGCACAAAATCTTAAAGCCAAAAATCAAGAAAATACTTCTAAGAACAATTTGGGACATAAGGACTTTTAAAGTATTTTGGTAAACTCAAATATCTTCCAAGTTCAATCACCCATCTCTGTCCCCACAACCTGCATGACGTCCTTACTGCCTGGCACAGGGCTGGCTTGGTGATGTCAGGAGCACTTGCAAATAAAACGAGGAGTTTGAAAATCATGTCTTCTGTTATGGGGGAGGGGTGGGCAGCAGCTTCTAAACAAGGTTGAATTCCCTTAGGTTCAGCTGTAGAATTGTGTCTTTGACAGCAGCAAACACAAAGCGAATATTCTCTGTATCTGTAGCACATGTGAAATGAGAGTAGATGACTTTCTCTTTGTCAGGATTCTGATCTTGGTAAAGTTTCAGGATAAAGTCTCTGGCAGCTTTGACATCCTGCTTCGGTCCTAGTCACAAGTGTAATGAGAGGAATAAAGACACAGACTTAACACCCTGTGCTCCCAAGAACCTTTTTTTTTTTTTTTTTTTTTTTTTTTTGAGACAGTCTCGCTCTGTATCCCAGGCTGGAGTGCAGTGACGTGATATTAGCTCATTACATCCTCCACTTCTGGTTTTCAAGCGATTCTCCTGCCTCAGCCTCCCAAGTAGCTGGGTAATTATAGGTGCCCGCCACCATGCCCAGCTAATTTTTGCATTTTTAGTAGAGACAGGGTTTCACCCTGTTGGCCAGACTGGTCTCAAATTCCTGACCTCAGGTGATCCACCTGCCTTGGCCTCCCAAAGTGCTGGGATTACAGGTGTGATTACTGCGCCCAGCCCCAAGAACCATTTTTAATGTACTCTTGTTCTTATTTAAGATCCTGCTTTGATCCATCTTTATTTCTAGGGAACAGTTTATCTGGAGCATTATTTTTATGGTGTCTCATCATGAACCCATAAAATAGTCGTATTTTAAAATGTCATCTGGTCTCTAAAACTTATACTTTACAGTGATTTGTTTAAAAATAGTGACGCCATTTGTCTGATTTGGACCACTTTGAAAGAGAAGTAATCCTTACTAACACACATGGACAGACAGCTGTGGTCTAGGAGAGAGGAAAGGAAGAATGCGGGAAGTAACATTATCAGGCTGATTTTAAAGCTTGACGGTGCTATACTACACAGCCAACATGGTTAATAAAAGGGGAAAGAAGAGTGCTAAAACATGAATCCACAAATACCAGTGTCAAACTTAATATTTAAGACCTTCTGTACTGGAAACAATTAGCAACAGGGCATGAGACTCTCCCGCCTTGGGCAGGTTATGTATAAAGGACTTCAGAGTCCACTGTGTGTCTCTAACCTACAGTTTAGAAGCACTGGGTGCTCTGACTGATCCAAGGAATGCACAGATAAATGAAGCAGAGTCTCTGCCCTCACAGTGCCCACTGGGGAGAGAGCTGAGTGAGCAGAGGATAGGACTTAGTGTGATGTGGCCAGGAGAGCAAGCGGGGGTCAGGCTGCCGAGGGAGCAGAAAGGAGACAGCACCCCTACTGCAGACCAGATGGGCAGGGGAGGCCAGAAAGGCTCCCGAGGAGGGGAGACCTCTGCTGGGTCTTGGAGAACAACATGGAGTCGGCTACAGGAGTTGGCAAGGGTATGCCTCCCTCAAGCACTGAGGGAGGCATGTGTGGAGGTGCTGCGGTGAAAACACGCAACGGTGCAACCAGCGCTTCCATGTGAAGGTGGGAATCGGGGGAGAGGCTGTTCCAGGCAGACTAGGGAGGCCCCTGTGAGCCGTGGTAACTCCGGACTGATGCCCGGGAGGAGGACAAGATCCACATAGAAACACTGTCCGCAAGATAGACACTTACCTGTGTATTCTGGGAAGTAGCTAATTAGATGAGAATACATGATTTTCTCTTCCAAAAGATCCTTCTTGTTCAAGAATAAAATCACAGATGAATTCAGAAACCAGGGGTAGGTGATGATGGTTTTAAATAAGGCTTTGCTCTCTTCCATGCGGTTCTAAGTGAAACACAAGGGACTCAGGATGAAGGAGAAAGAAAATATTTTGGAAACAACATGGCACTTTGCCAGTCTGTTTATCTCTTCTCTTGCCCCACTGCAGTCCCTGGGCCACTGTCTGCTGAAGCTGGTGAGCATGTGGGGTCCCAGGCAGCAGGCCTCCTGCTTCTGCCTGCCCCTGCCCAAGCCTCTTGCTAACTGTCCCCTTCAGCCTCCCCTCGTTTGTAGCATCCCAGCTCTTCTCCAGCCCAAAACTCACATGGAAGGAAATAAGAAAGGCTTTGGTGCAACTTGTAGAAGGAATGTTCCTACCCACATTTGACAAAAGTTTTCTGTGTCACGTGATTGGGATTACCAAGTCGGGAAGTGCCAGCTTCAGACCTGACATGGCCATCTCAGTTGTTGATGGGCTTCCAGACTGGGTCTCAGCAGTGAAGCGACAAGGCTCTTCCAGCAAGGCCACTGACACTGGCAGAGACAGAGCCACTGCTACCGGGCACCCACCCACTCTGCGTCACACTTTACAAGCAGAGCAGTGGCCCATTTGATGGGTGAGCATACTGTTACTGTTCAGAACATTTAAATAACTTTCCCATGCCTGTGTAACAGTGGGATCTGGGGAAGATGATGTAGAAAGACAGTAATAATTTCTCAATGTTGGACATTGGCAAGAAGATATTAAATGCTCCTAATTTACTGAGAGCAGACAGGGCACAAACAAATCTTATCTGTGACAGTAGTTTTTCTAGATAGCATTCTGCTCTTTCTGAAATATTTCTAAGAGGAAAGAAAGAATAACTTCCCTGTAGGAAGGGAAGGGATCAGACTGAAAACATCCAAGCTCAGCACACACACTCAAGAGGGACATGCCATAAATCACTCTTTCCCCACAACTTCCAGACACCCAGGATCATTGTGCCACTCAGTACGCTCTGGGGAATTAAGATGTGGAATGTATTAAAGCTTTGAAATTTATTGTGATCTTACTGATAATGATCTTCAAGGAAACACAATTTGTGAAAGATTCCCAGACAGTCTACAGATATAATAACATATCTACAACCAGAAGGGGAAAGTCTGGAGTGGCAGCCATTTCATTTTTCTCTAAATATTTTGTGATTTTTAGGAGAAAATGTTTAATTTCTAAGCACTTTGGGCTGAGATATTGGTCCCTTGTGCACCTGATTAATCTGAGGAACGTCACAAATAATTCCTGAAACAAATTTGGAGCAAATTTTTTATATTGATAACTGAATGTCATCTTTAAAAAAAAAAAAAATCTCCAATTGGGAGAACTGGGTGGCAGCCAAGATTTCTCTTCTTTGCACAATGACAATTAAATGGGTTAATCCTCCACTAATTAGGTAATATAAGCTATGCTCCTCAGAGAAAAGTCTGCTCTCAAGAAATAGAAGATACGATTTGTTCACAGTTACTGGCTAATCCTGGACTGAGTCCTTTATTGATTTACTTTCATGCCTTGGAAACAAAAGATATTTTTCTAAAAGGTCACGAGGTCTTAATGCAAGTTCAGGGGAAAGGATGAGGAGGAGGACATGAGTATTCCACTGTAACTAACCCCAACCTGACAGAGCAGAAGTGGCTTTGATGGTCTCTTCACTCTCAGGACAGCTGCTGCTAATGGAGTTCGACGCAGCCAGGCTATGGCTGCACTGTGGGGATCCTGCGTGCCTGACCAGGCTGGATCCATCCCAGCTGCCCTGAGGGAGTCTCTCCCAGGCAAGGGAAAGCAAATGCAATCCCAGGCAGCCCCAGAACAGCTCCAAGCATCTAGCAGCACTGCCCATCCCAGTTCTGCTAGGGATCTGATTTGGTAGCGCCATGGGCCTATGGAGGTTAGGACGCCTGGGCCCAGGTAAAGTGTGTTAGAGATGGTGCTGCTTAGCTTGGGCTGGGCAGTAGAATCCCTGGTGGGCTTACAAAAGAAGCCTCGACCTAAACCCACTCAACTGGAATTTTTAGTGTGGAGTCCAAGAGATGGCATTTTTTTTTTTTTTTTTTTTTTTTGAGACGAATTCTCGCACTGCTGCCTGGGCTGGAGTGCAACAGCACGATCTCAGCTCACTGCAACCTCCACCTCCCAGGTTCAAGTGATTCTGCTGCCTCAGCCTCCCAAGTAGCTGAGATTACAGGTGCCTGCCACCACGCCCAAGTAATATTTCATATTTTTAGTAGAGACGTTGTTTCACCATGTTGGCCAGGGTGGTCTCAAACTCCTGACCTCGTGATTCACCTGCCTTGGCCTCCCAAAGTGCTGGGATTACAGGCATGAGGCACTGCACCCGGCTGAGAAGTGGCATTTTTAAAAAGCTCACCAATGGATTCTGCTATGCCACCAAGGATGAGAGCCTAGGCTTTTGAATAGTTTCCAACCTCAGCAGCACGGTAGATTCACCTGGGTGCTTTTTAAGCATCCTTCCACTCAGGCCCCATTCACCACCAATTAAATCAGAATCTCTGAGACTGGACTCAGGCACCAAGTTTTCTTTAAGTCCTCAGTGAATCCCAGTGTGCATTTAAGTTTCAGAACCCGGGTTCCAGGCCAGTGACTGTCAGCATTTCATATGTATTTGAATTAGCTGGGGTCTTATTAAAACACAGATTCCAATGTCATCGGTCGGGGTTGATTAAAACTGCATTTCTAACAAGCTATCCAGGTGATAGCTGTGCCTCTGGTCCACAGATGACACTTTGAATAGCAAGACCATTTAACCTAATGACTAGGGTCCATTTCCTGACCTGGCTTAATAAAAACCACAGGAGGCTGGGCGCAGTGGCTCATGCCTGTAATCCCAGCACTTTAAGAGGCCGAGGTGGGCAGATCACAAGGTCAGGAGTTCAAGACCAGACTGGCCAATGGTGAAACCCTGTCTCTATTAAAAAAATAAATAATTAGCTGGGCATGGTGGTTTATGCCTGTAATCCCAGCTACTTGGGAGGCTGAGGTAGGAGAATTGCTTGAACCGGACCTGGGAGGTGCAGATTGCAGTGAGCCGAGATCGCACCACTGCACTCCAGCTGGGCTACAGAGCAAGACTGCATCTCAAAAACAACAACAACAAAAACACCACAGGATAGGGCTCTGGCTTCCACAGCTACCTAAACTTCCCGCCCAGCGTACCTCATTGTGACACTCAGCCAGGACTTGGTCATATTCGCTCAAAGCAACCAAGAAAATTATGGAGGTGACACTCTCAAAGCAGTGAATCCATTTCCGCCTTTCAGACCGTTGGCCACCAACGTCCACCATCCTGTTGTACAGAAACACAGATCCCTCAAAGGCTGGAATACATGACACTTTGGGGAAAAGACATGAATTATTATAGCATGGAAAGCAGTGCTCTTTGGGGTCATCAGTAATTTCTAAGAGAGAAAGAGGTCCTAAGTTTTCAAATGTCTGATGCTGCTGCTTTAAGCAATGAGGTACCACTGGCTGTTTCCTAGCAAAGAAGTCACAGAACGTAAACGATGTTTCTGAAGACATGCAGAGGTGACTCGGAGTCTGCTTGGGGACACTGGTATCCGGGCAGAAAACACAAACATCCACTTGTGTTCTGTGGCCACCACTGTAGAGGCCCTGGATACCAGACCCAAGAGGAACAGACTGGCCAGCTGTCATCCCGATCCCCCAGGCGGCCTCAGGACCTAAGCCTAGTCTGTCTTCCTGGCTCCTCTAATTTACCCATAAATCCTTTCTGCAGTCCCTGCATGCCACCTCTTGTTCCCTATAAAAACCTGCAAGTGTCCTCTGTCCAGTATGGAAATGCAAAGCATCTACCTGTGTCTCTGGGAAAGATTTCAGCAACTCCCAGCCCAGGGATCACAAGTTCCAATGCTCCAGGAATGAGGCAGTTTAATGGAGTGAGTCAAGTGAGCTCCCCATAGTACAAAAGCACACACCGCACAACAGCCAGGAGCCCTGTCTACAGGGAAGCCTGCTGCACACCTGCAGCCAAGCTCTGCAGAACGAAGTGCAGGCTCACCGTGACCATAGCCTCTGCCTTTTCAGGAGAAACGAGGTATCCAGTGTGTTAAGTTAAACATCCCAACTTTTAAACAAGTTAGCTCAAAAAGATGTTTTTAGTAACACCAAAAAAAATACATAATGGACCAGAGATACAGCTGCCAAGTCAGCCCCACCCACCCCTCCTCACCACCCCACCACACACACACACATAGCTGTCCCTGAGGGGCAAGGTGGTTAGGTGGCCCACAGGCCAACCACCCAAAACCGTTGTCCAGAAAAGTGCAGGAAATAAAACAAATAATTCAATCCTGTCCTTGAACCACGTCCTGGAGGTGCAGCCACTCCCACAGTGTCGTGTGTTGATGGCTGGCTACCCCACCTCACAGCAGGGAACCGATCTGGAAAAGGGACACTGCAATCCGTCAAAAGGTTGAGCTTGAAGAAGCCGTTCTATAAAGGCCTCAAAGATCGGAATTTTTCAGCCAGAAGTCTCCCACTGGGAGAGGTGCTCTGAGTCGTAAAGTAATAGACTTCCCTGGTGATGATATTAAACCCATTCACCGGACTCTAAAGTAAGGCAAAACCCATTCATCACAGTCCAAGAAGGATAAACTTAGAAGAAATAAAAGTATTTTTAAAAACAAAACAAAACAAAAAGCCTTGGGATCCTCTCTGAGAGGTTTTGGACATTGCAAAAAGCAGTTAATTGTGAAAAGGTTTAGAGAAATTCACAAGCACACAGGCACAGTGGGCTACTATTAAAATCAGGGATATGCTAACACAGACAGGGGTATCTACCAAGGGGCTGGTCCCAAGGGCGCCCCAAACCCAGCAATTCTGGATAGAGAAGCACTGAGCTGGAACTGGGATCAGACAGGACCTGGATGTGCAACTGGTGGTGGTGTCTCAACTGGAAAATCGCGTGTAAGAATTGTTAGGAGGAACGAGGGAAATAACGGATGTAACAGTGCTTCAAAATGTGCGGTGCTTCATATATGCCCTGTATGATTATTCATTTTTTACCGTAACTAAATGCAGTGAAGGGTCATTTAAGGCATCCTAAAAGTATTTTCCTATATTTGTAAGTGGAAATGCATACATTTTTACACAGCTGTTAGTTTGTATATATTACTCTTCACAGTTTTAATACACATTTTTGTGTTAATTCTTAGTTTTCTTTTCTTTTCTTTCTTTCTTTTTTTTTTTTTTTATAAGACAGGGTTTCACCGTGTTGGCCAGGCTGGTCTTGAACTCCTGACCTCAGGTGATCTGCCCGCCTCGGCCTCCCAAAGTGCTGAGATTACAGGCCTGAGCCACCGTGCCCAGCCCTTAGTTTTCTTTTTTAAGGATAAATCCTGGAGAAGGAAATAGAGGAGAAAGGAAACATTATTCAACTTTAGGGAAAAGTCATCGATAATCATTATATTCAATTTGTGGGATACAGAAGTATACACGTGTGTGTGTGTGTGTGTGTGTGTGTGTGTGTGTGTGTGTGTGTGTGTTACAGATAAGAATCATTCCAGTTTCCAGTAAGGAAACCCTTCTTCTCCAAGGGTAATAGGAAGGTGGCTTCCTCTCCATTCTAGGGTTGAGACCTACCGTAATTCTAAATATCCTGTGGCAGACAGCGTCACTCTATTCTAAAAGATATAGTCCCTGCTTAAGAATAGCATGTTTAAGAATGCACCTGGGGACTTCCAATCCTGGGCAGATTCTTCATGGTACACCAGGGAGACAGACTTACCGGAAGATGATGTTTTCCAAGTCAAACGGATACTCAATGATGCCGGTGGTGGGCACTCGGACGCGAAGCACGTCTTGCTGAGTGGGTACGAATGACGGCGTGGCGATGCGATCGATGTCAGTCAGGTAACTGCGTATTAGAGAACAGGGTACTGAGTCTCCTTTTAGCGAAGGGGAAAAGGTCCATCCTACTCAAAGTCACCCCCAACTCACAGTCGGCCCCACACACACACACACATGAATTCCAACAATGACCTTCCTGAGAGCCAGCACCAGGCCAGGCTTCTCCGTCCTTCCTACAACTGTTTTGAAGACAATATGCGTCAGAAGCAATTTCCAGAGCCTTCTGGGACATCTGCAGAGCACTCCAGTCTCTTCCTCCTGGGTTCTGAGCTCCGTTGCTGCTCTTTGGCCGGCGAGGGAGACAGTGGGGCTGGAAGCCAGGATGTTGGAAGTGGCTCTCTCCGACGCCCCATCTGGCATCCTCCCTCCAGAGGCCCTTCTCCCTCCCACTCGCCCTCGTCCAAGAACATTATATAATGGAGATGCTGTTCTCTAAAGCTTTGCTCAATGAATTCAATAGAGTTTGTAAGAAAATGCACAGACGTAAAACAGGCCAACGAGAAATTCAAAACAACAGCAGCAAGAAAAAGTTTTCCTGTTGAAGACACTGGGAAATTAAACATCTCCTAAAATAACCCCAAACCTACCTTAATTTATTTTTGGCCATATATTAAAGCCCTGAGCTTAAAACATTTTTTTTTCCTGTAGTAAAATAAGGGAATCCTTTTTTTAAAAAACTTTACGGCCTTTCTAAAAAGACATTTTTCGGTAAAATAACTAACTCAGGCCCTCGCCAACAAAAGAGTGGGAGATACAGAGACACTTGCAAGCTGAGGCCGGCCCTTCCCTGTCCCAGCACAGCATCAAGGGCTGAGCAGGTCTGCATGGAGACTAACCAGGGCGTCCCAGGCAAACTCTGCTCACCATATGCCTTCAGCTCCAGAAGAAAGCTCTGGGTTAGCCTTCCACGACCCACCTTCCTGCCCAAATATGACCTCCAGAGCTTATCACTGCTTTTGCTGTACTTTGATGTGTGATTATTTGATTTATACCTGACTTGCTCCACCAGACTGTACATTCCCTGAGAGCAGAGAGCATTGGTGGTGTAATACCTGCAGCCCTCACCGCAGTGCCTGGCACGTCGCAAGCACTCATCACATTCATCCAATCAGCAGACATCTCTAGCAGAGGGGTTGAAAACAGCTGACCCACATGGAGAAAATGTGCAAGCACCGTGAGTCCTGCCGGTTTGGAAGGCTGAGCTGCTGGGTTTAGGAGAGGCTGTTTTCTCTGTGGCAGCTCTGATCACCACCCCACCCAGGCCCCTTGTCCATGTCAATGGCCTTGCCCCTGTGGTTTTCAGGGTTACACTGAATTCTATAGCAGGTCTGGTGGGTCTTTTCCAAATGGATCTATGTCAAGAGCCCTAGGCAACCCCCAGGGCCTTCACAGAGGCAGGTAACCCAGGCCACACCTCGGGAACGGCTCAGGAACGTCGTGCCTGTTCGTGGCTCCTCGAGCTGTCAAAGGCAGGTCCTCCTCTTTGGCACTTTCTTTCTTCCGGCTCTCTGTGCTGATCTAACACCTTATTGGGGTTTATTTTCCTGCCTTCATGCTTTGTTGGACCTAAACATTCCTGTAGTCAGATTGATTGTGCCAACCTAGATTAATGACATTCAACTCTCAGCCTGGGACAAACACCAAAGGAAGGTCATTGAAATCACAGGAGATGACACCTCTGACTTCCTTTCCTGCCCAATGCTTTGTCCAGCCCAATGCCTGCTCAGAGGGCAAAAGTGGCCCCCAAAGGGAAGGACGTAGGTCCGAGGAAGGGATTTCTGAGCCATTGGAGGATGGAAGGTGATATGGGGCAGGTGAGAAAGAGTTGAGCTGTAGAAGCAGGAGTCATTGCCACTTCGAGAAGCACCCATATCAAACTATTTGCCCAGTGACCAGACTGAAGGAGGCATTGCCCTGGGTTATTACTTATTTTTTTATTATTATTATTATTATTATTATTATTATTATTATTTGAGACAGAGTCTCACTCTGTCACTCAGGCCATAGTGCAGTGGTGCAATCCCAGCTCACTGCAACCTCAACCTCCTAGGCTCAAGAAATCCTGCCTCAGCCTCCCGAGTAGCTGGAATTACAGGCACATGCCATCATGCTCAGCTAATTTTTGTGTTTTTTGCAGAGATGGGGTCTTGCTCTCTGGCCCAGGCTAGTCTCGGATTCCTGGTTTCAAGCGATCCTCCCACCTCTGTCTCCGAAGTCCCTGGGATTACAGACATAAACAGGAAATGTCTAAGAAGTGAAAATCTGTCACCTCTATGGGACAGTTTGCATGCTGGGCCATCTAAATAGAAATCTTTTTACCTTCAATTATTAACGAATTAAAAGTTGAGCTGTATGATCCAAAATCCAGTGCGTAAGGCCTTTGCAAGTGGCCAGTAACAAAGGATTGTTTCGCGTGTGTGCTGGGAGCGCAGCCTCCTATCTGCGCCACTAGAGGGCAGCACCAGATCAGCAGCCGACGGGCCAATGGCACTGCTGCTCTAAACTTGACTTTAGAGTTTAGGGCAATTGGACCTGCTGTCTTCTGATGCGGAAAACCAGAAAAGCGGAGGGATATAGAGAAGAGAAAAGGAGATGCTAGAAGCAAGTGTATTCCCTGTTTACATCAGATCATTTCAGCACTCCAAAGGAGATCAGTCCTACTTAAGGGACCTCAAATTTGATGGAGTCTGTCTTTGAAACGACAGGCTTAGCACACAGCAAGAACAGGTGGGTGTCGGCAGGAAGAGAGGTCTGCGGTCCAAAGAGTGACCGAGAGCTTTAGGAAGTGGTGAGAGATGGCACCAAGAGGTCAGGAGAGATACAGAAAAGCAGAGGCAGGCAGCACTGCCACTGTGCATTGCATTTTAGCAGCATTCAGTGAGAAGCTTCCTTGAAGTGTGGCCCAGCTTGCCTGAAAGCGCCATGGGCAGCCAGGCTGGGCTCTGTACTCACTATTTGGCAGAGTCTGACAGCTGGTACTCCCTCCTCCTGTCGTAACACTCCTGGATGCCCGGATCTTGCCAGAGCTGCTTGATGGCCTCCACCTGCTCCCTGGAGAGCATGGAGACCTTGTCCACTTCCACTTCTCTGATGAACTGGGCATTTTCCTACTCAGAGGAAAGAGAACCTTGCATTAGGCAAAGGAAAGGAAGCCAACCCATTGGCAGTGTCGGGACAAGACTTGCCCTGGTCTGTGGATTTGGAGAGCTCTCCCTAGGTACGGGTGTGGTGGGCACCCTCCCAGGGGCTGCTCATGGCCGAGACACTCCCTGCAGCCATGCTGAGTGGAGATGGTGCGGCTGCTTAGCTCCGTGGAGAGAGCCACTGAGGGCCCAAGACCTGCAGCTTCCATGCCCAGCCATGTCCTGGGCCAGTTTTGCCAGCATTTCAACACCCAGTGGTGAACAGAGAGGCACTGGAGCTATCATCCTACCAGCAAACTTTACTTCCTCATTAACACGTTACTCATTGGAGTATCTGCATAGCCAATGAGGCAATTTTAAAATGGCACATCAAGGGTTGGGTGGTGGAAGCCGGTCCACCTGATACAGGCACTAAGGAGACGCATTGTCTTTAAGAACTGAAACACAGTAATACCAACCAATGATCTGTCTGGGATTTTGTTCTCTCTTTTCTTATTTAAAAAAAAAAAAAATGGCTGGACGTGGTAGCTCATGCCTGTAATCCCAGAACTTTGGTAGGTGAAGGCAGGCAGTCATGAGGTCAGGAGTTTGAGATCAGCTGCCAGTATGGTGAAAAACCATCTCTACTAAAAATACAAAAATTGCCCAGGCATGGTGGCACGCACCTGTAATCCCAGCTACTCAGGAGGCTGAGGCAAAAGAATTGCTTGAACCTGGGAGGCGGAGGTTGCAGTGAGCTGAGGTTGTGCCACTGCACTCCAGCCTGGCGACAGAGTGAGACTCTGTCTCAAAAAACAGAAAAATTAAAGGACTTTACTTTTTAGAGCAGTTTTAGCTTCCCAGAAAAATTGTAGGGAATGTACAGCACATTCCCACAGTCTGCTGTTTAGTTTCTTACATCACTGATACAACTCTTTCCCACTGGGAGACCCCTCCCAATGCACTCCTCTTCCCACAGCACTGATTATTATATTATCTTATTTATTATTACTATGATTATTAAATAATTATTGCTCTATTACTACAGTAATTGAGGCCATTAGTACTGTAATTATTACTATTACAGCAGTTACCATTTATTGGCCATGTACTATGTGCCAAAGCCTCTACATACATTATCTCATTTAATCAATGAGAGGCTAGCATGAGCCAGAAATCCTTCCAAACATTAGAAAATGGAAAAGATAACGTTGGCCTCAGCCACAACATTTCCACATGTTGGCCCCAGACATTCAGTATCCTTTCCTTGGCTGCCAGTTGCAGCAGACAAGTGAATCCTGGCACGAGAAGCAGGGCCCCAGGCTCTTCTTCCCTATCCCATCTTCCTGCATCCCACGGCAATTACATCACCGTGCAGGGCTGGCTACGCTGGCAGCTGTGAGTCAGCAAAGCATCTGCTTGGTAGCTGGGATCTCAAATATATATGGCACTCCCCGAACAGTAGCTTTTATCGTGCGCTGTTCATCCTTGTGATTATCCAACAGCAGACCACAGAAGAGGAGGATCTTACACATCCACTTGACTCATCCAAGCCAAGGACTGTGATGAAATTGATCCTGACAGTGCATATAAACTCGTCCTGGAGACCGCAGGATCTTCAGGCAGGTAGGGTCTCAAACAAGGTCCAGGCAGATGGAGCAGTGGAAAGTGTGCTAGACTGGGAATCAGGACCCTGAGTTATAAACAGTGTAGCTGGGACTCTTTAGGACCCCGACGAGTTACCTGCCTCAGTGTTCTCTTTTGTCAAATGAGCCATGATTTCCAGGGACACCTGAATTATAGTGTTACTTAAATGAAAGTAGAATCGGCCTTCACTATTGTAACAGATGTCTAATGAGTATTTCTTGTTTGCAAAAACAGGACCCACGGGTAGCCTCTAAACCCTAACCTCTAATCCTGCCCACTGGCGTGCTGCACATATGAGCCCTCTGCTTGGCTGGCAAGAATGACGGATGCAGAACCCGGGCAGTGCTTGTCCAGTGCGGCACAGAACAGCTCTCTCTCACGTCCTCCCCTCCTCTCGCCACCCTCTTGCCTCCCAAACAGGTCAGCTGTGCTGCGCTCTACCCTCTTAAGGTAAAATGTTTGGCCGGGTGCGGTGGCTCACACCTGTAATCTCAGCACTTTGGGAGGCCGAGGTGGGTTGATCACAAGGTCAAGAGATCGAGACCGTCCTAGTCAACATGGTGAAACCCCATCTCTACTAAAAATACAAAAAATTAGCTGGGCATGGTGGCGCGTGCCTGTAATCCCAGCTGCTCAGGAGGCTGAGGCAGGAGAATTGCCTGAACCCAGGAGGCGGAGATTGCAGTGAGCCGAGATCGCACCATTGCACTCCAGCCTGGGTAACAAGAGCGAAACTCTGTCTCAAAAAAAAAAAAAAAAAAAAAGTCTGTTTTCCTCTATGTCTTCATCACAGGCCAGGAAATGCCACGAGGGCAGAGCCAATGTCTCATTTGTTCTTATATCCCAGAACCTAGTGCAGTGCCTTCTATCGCAAATAAGTGCCTTCTATTGATATGTGCATTCAGTAAACATCTGTGGTGCATATAAAATCGTCTACCTACTAGACAGAAAATCATGAGAAAATAAGAGTGAAAGCAAGCTAGGGTGGAGGACGGAAGCCGTGCAGGTCACGGTGGAAGCACAAAGCAGGTCAGGGCATTCTCTCAGAGGAGGAGATGCTCAGGTGATGCTTGGCCAATCTGTAATTCCAGCTTGGGCCCTGGTGGCCCTCAGCATCCTTGCTTCCTGTGGGCATGCCTCTGCTGCTGCTCTGCTACGTTTCACTATCAAGTTCAGGTTAACTGCTGAGCGTCAGTGTGGCGACAATGATCAGGGCTGTGACGAATGCATTTCTGTCTCTCCGTCTCACAAACACAATATAGGACTGAACTTTAGGGTGAAGGAAATGTGAGCACAAGTCACTTTTGTCTCTTTTGAAAATAAAATTTACCGAAGACAAAAAACACGATTATCTCAACAGATGCAGAGAAGGCCTTTGACAAAATTCAACAGCGCTTTATACTAAAAACTCTCAATAAACTAGGTATCAATGGAACTTGTCTCAAAACAATAACAGCTATTTATGACAAACCCACAGTCAATATCATACCAAATGGGCAAAAACTGGAAGCATTCCCTTTGAAAACTGGCACAAGACAAGGATGCCCTCTCTCACCACTCCTATTCAACATAGTATTGGAAGTTCTAGCCAGAGCAATCAGACAAGAGAGAAAAATAAAGGGTACTCAATTAGGAAAAGAGGAAATCAAATTGTCTCTGTTTGCAGATGACATGGTTGTATATTTAGAAAACCCCATCGTCTCAGCCCAAACTCTCCTGAAACTCATAAGCAACTTCAGCAAAGTCTCAGGATACAAAATCAATGTGCAGAAATCACAAGCATTCCTATACACCAAAAACAGACCACAGCCAAATCATGAGCAAACTTCCATTCACAATTGCTACAAAGAGAATAAAATACCTAGGAATACAACTTACAAGGGATGTGAAGGACCTCTTCAAGGAGAACTGTAAACCACTGCTCAAGGAAATAAGAGAGGACACAAACAAATGGAAAAGCATTCCATGCTCATGGTTAGGAAGAATCAATACAGTGAAAATGGCCATATTGCCCAAAGTAATTTATATATTCAATGCTATCCCTATCAAGCTACCACTGACCTTCCTCACAGAACTGGAAAAAACAACCTTAAACTTCATATGGAACCAAAAAAGAGCCTGCATAGCCAAGACAATCCTAAGCAAAACAACAACAACAAAGCAGAGGCATCATGCTACCTGACTTGACTATACTACAAGGCTACAGAAATCAAAACAGCATGGTATTGGTACCAAAACAGAGATGTAGCCCAATGGAACAAAACAGAGGCCTCAGAAGTAACATCACACATCTACAACTATCTGATCTCTAACAAACCTGATGAAAACAGGCAATGGGGAAAGGATTCCCTGTTTAATAAATGGTGTTGGGGAAACTGGCTAGCCATATGCAGAAACCTGAAACTGGACCCCTTCCTTACACCTATATGAAAATTAACTCCAGATGGATTAAAGATTTAAATGTAAGATGCAACAAGAGAAGCAGGACCCCAAGCTCTTTCCTCTCCCATCTTCTTTAATCCCATGACAATTACATCACCGTGCAGGGCTGGCTACACTGGCAGCTGTGAGTCAGCAAAACATAAGACCTAACACCATCAAAACCCTAGAAGAAAACCTAGGCAGTACCATTCAGGACCCAGACACAGGCAAGGACTTCATGAGTAAAACCTCAAGAGCAATGGCAACAAAAGCCAAAATTGACAAATGGGATCTAATTAAACTTAAGAGTTTCTGCACAGCAAAAGAAACAATCATTAAAGTGAACCAACAACCAACAGAATGGGAAAAAAATTTTGCAATCTACAAAGGGCTGATATCCAGAATCTACAAAGAACTTAAACAAATTTACAAGAAAAAACCAACCCCATCAAAAAATGGGCGAAGGATATGAAGAGACACTTCTCAAAAGAAGACATTTATGTGGCCAACAAACATATGAAAAAAGCTCATCAATGGTCACTAGAGAAATGCAAATCACAACCACATTGAGATACCATCTCACGCCAGTTAGAATGGCAATCATTAAAAATCTGGAGACAATAGATGCTGGAGAGGATGTGAAGAAACAGGAACACTTTCACACTGTTGGTGGGAGTGTAAATTAGTTCAACCTTTGTCGAAGACAGCATGATGATTCCTCAAGGATCTAGAAATAGCAATTCCATTTGACCCAGCAGTCCCCTTCTGGGTATATACCCAAAGGATTATAAATCATTCTATTATAAAGACACATGCACATGTATGTTCACTACAGCACTGTTTACAGCAGCAAAGACCTGGAACCAACCCAAATGCCCATCAATGATAGATTAGATAAAGAAAATGTGGCACATGTA